GATAAATACTTAAGAGAACAGGTGCTTTGCAAAATAACCAGGCCATAAGGCGTTCTATAAGGTTTATGCTGAGGCCTTACTGACACTCTAATATCCTGTAATAATATTATAATATTAGAGCCCATAAGGCTTAGGCATATACACAGAGTAGGAGTGATACTAAGTGCATGATAAAAATGCTCAAAAATTGAGCATACGTGTATATGAAAATGAAGATATCCTACGTTATTGGACAGAGAACACACAATTCAACATATGTTGTATCATATTTTTTCAGTTATGAACGTTATTTGTCACAAGAGAAGAATCAGATATCATAATTTTTAAAAAATGTTATACTATGAACTAGATTGCTACTGTTCTAGAAAATGAAAACAAAATTCCTTTCTCTACTTTAACTAATATAAAAAGTGACTCAACTTTTTCTTGAATATCAATATCTTATAGGAAATTTTTCTACAAGTTTTAAAATTCACATTTATTCACTAATATATCTTCTTTATTTTATTATTAAATAATAGTCTGTAATATCAAGTTATTTAAATAACAGATAAATTTATAAATATATTCTCTGTCAATTAAAAACCCTTTCTAAATAGTGATACCTGAAATAATTATGGTTGCAATTCAAAAGCCTATTTTTATAATGACATAAATAGCAGTAACTCATTCATATTTACTCTTGAGCTTATTTTCTTAGATTTGCCCTCTGACATCCGGAGTCCTGGCCTTACTTTATATATTGCCTCCTTTTCCTTACAAGAGATTAATCCATTCATTAGTCAAGGCTTAGGCCTGCACATTAGAAAATATGGTACCATATTTATAGGAGGAATGAAATATTACAAAGTAGATTTAATATGGCTTGATCGTCTATGATGGATTTAATGTTTTTGCAATACAATGTGAAAAAGTTTGCGAAAACATTCCTTTCTATCCTGCACTGAGTCAAGGAAGGACTAGAAGTGGGTTCCTGCACTAGGCAGTAAGTTGGGCCACATGACCTCTGAGATCCCTTCCAATCCTTACATTCGATGTATTCTATGAATATATTTGTGTTAGAACTTGAAAAGTTCATATATTTTTTCAAAACCAACTTATTAAAAGTATGGTTGCCATAAAGTAAATTTAATATTTTTTTTATGTTTCTCATTTTTAAAATGCATCCTGAATATGCATCAGCACACTGCATATACCATTTAAGTTGGTGGAATGTGGCAATTACATAGCCTTTAGATTAAACAATCTAGGTCATATAATCTGATGTGAGCATGCACAAAATCACAAGCAAACAGCTATTTTGTCCAGTACCACAACAACAAAACACAGGTAGAAGCTGACTTTTCTGACAAAGGAGATTGACTTCTAGCCATTACATCACATTGGTGGAAGAGATACAAAAAGTTGAACCTTGATTTCGTTATAAATAGCACGTGCATTTAATACAATAGTAATTGTAATTGTAATTGTAGAATCCTTTGATATTAGTTTCATTAATTTTTCTATAATTAATTAATTTTCTATAAAAACCTTGGATGTTGTTCAGGTGTTTCCAATCAGTTTGCCAAGAGAATCATGGGAAGGGGCTGTTTAAGAGAGCAGAATGTAATATATAGATATAAATGAAGCTGGTTTGATTTTGTGGTGTATAGGAATATATTTTCATGTACAGAATTATATATGTGAGTTTAATTGTAAATTAAAATGTTAACGTGTATGTTAAAAAGTATGAAATAAAGTTATCAAGAGTGTTGCGAGTATATTTTCAAACAGCAGTGAATGACAGTAATGGAGGAGTCATAGATAAATTATGGGAAAAATGATATTAAAGGTTATTTTTTTCATTATAAATGTAATTCATAAGTACATCCACAGAAAAATAAATCCAAGTAATTTAGGTAAACATTAATATACTTGGAACAGCTGATAATACAGGGTTAGAAAAATAATCAGTTTTGTAATCTGTTTTACAAAAGCCATCAAGCTTCTTATTTCACTTCAAATTCTGATGTATAATATGCGTTTATTTTCACAGAATTTTGTTTAATATTCTTAAAATGTGGAATTTCAGAAAGTCCACTTGGGCTTTCTAAGAAAGTTTCCCCAACTCACAGTAAAAAATGATTTCTTGCAGCTGAAGAGACACAAAGCTAATTCACACTTGCAGTTTACAAGTCCACTAATCCACAATCAGATGAAGTGTGAACTCAGCTGCTCAGGAATAATTGTCCCCTAATCCTTAGCAATTTGCACTTCATTAATGAAGTGAGAATTAATCCTTACTACTATCCTGATGAATTGCATGAAGGGGTTGCTCCAGTTCTGATGCCTCCATCCCAAATAATAGAGGTGGATCTAACAGGATAATTTTAGCCTTTGTTGTTATACATTTTCTTTGTGAAAGACAACATGCATTGTAGAGAACATATTTGACTCACAATGTTCTAGGTATCTCACAGCAATGGATAGCACTGATACAGAATATACAAATAGAAAAAAGTAGAAAAATTTAGTCATTAAGGATAAGCAATATACTTCCTGACAATGTGTTAAATATGCTCATTTCTCTCCAAGGAACTGATGGTGAGATAATACTCCATTAACAAATGAAAAGAAGTGCTAGTATCTGACTGCTCCATTCATATAGTCATATATTCAAGAACAGTGGTACAGGGACCAAATTCAGTGAGTTTAAGATAAGCAAAGCACTGAAGTAAACAAGGAACTTTCTAATCAATAAGTAAATGAGCTTTTACCAATATTTTGACGGACACCACAATTATTGTCATATGCAACTACTTCAATAGGCTTTATTGATGTTATATTATTCTTGTTTTTATTGTTACATTCTGATTTACTGTACTGTACACTAATATACACTATTTACAGAAGGGTGACATTATTTTTAGAAATCAGTATAAATGACCAGCCAATTTGTAATTATTTTTTTCATTATTTTGAGCTTTTTTGAGCTTAAGTACAATTGTACTTATAAAAAATACATCTTCTCTATTTGCCTAAGTATAGGAGAGCAGAATGTTCTTAAGACTTTCTGATTTTGGCTAGAAAAAAATTTCAAACATCTATTCCATTAGACAGCAAAAGATTATATTTCTATATATCTTTGTTGCCATCTAAACTGCTTAAATATGGTCTGCTTTCTGAATGACAAATATGTTACACATTAGTCAAATTCTAGCAACAAAATATTCTATCTTTAACATTTAAGATTTTCTATTAATTTTCCTCCTGCATTGTATCCTCCTGCACAAAGGTGATATTAAGTTGGTTCAGACGGATTTGGGCGAACTGGTAGCGGCGACTGTGGGTGGCCCGCTCCCGCCCACCTACCCAGGCGTAAAGACGTTCTACTTAGCCATGTTTTTGAGGCTGGGATCATGTGTGGAAGGCACACGCATGAGCAAAGCGGATGTGCGGAAGGCTGGGTGTACGTGCGGAAGGCACACACGTGCGTGAAGTGAGCGTGCACGTGTGGGGCGAACCAGTGGTAATCATTTCTGAAACCCACCGCTGCTCCTGCATTATATCAAACATATTATATTTATCAGGATTTTTTATACAAATTCCTGCTTTATGCAATTTCAATTAAATTTTACTTACACATTTTCTTTACTTATGAATAGCCTTATGAATCAGATTAAATTTCAATTTATTTCTTGTAGTGGACAATCAAAAGCCTCCAAAGGATTTAGAAGCAGGATGATGCAGTTCAGTGATACCCAACTGAGTTAGCTACTAGGTTGTCAAAACTAATGAACCTGACTTCCATTAAATTAATCTCCTTTTAATGTTATCCAGGTTTGTAGTAATTATCACATCAGATTAATTATGCGCTATTTGAATATGTCTTTCTTTGGTTTACTCTAAAAGTCTTTGTGTCAGTCACTCTCTCTTACTCGAACTCACCTCACAGGGTTGTTGGAAATTAGGAGAAGAGGAATATCGGGTATGTTCGTTCCCTTGAGTTACTTATTATGAAAAGGTGGGGTATAAATAAATAACTGAGAAAGTTAAAGAATACCAATAAACTATATTTATGCTTTTTATTATCAATTATCAAAGCAGCAGTTAAGAAATGCCCCACAACTAGCACTTGTTTAAGGAACAATGAAGGCTTTGGAAAAAAATGTTCAGATATCATGATGTGTCTATGTCTATAGAGGTGAGAAATGTGCAGGCAATGGCTTTCCTTGTGATATTCCAATTAGAAAGAAAGAAAACAAATTGTCTGCATGGATCATAGACAAATTAACTTTAGCTGTCAGCTGAAGTACAAATGATCAGGCTCGAATTATGATATTTTGGACATTTTATGCAAATGCCCAGTTATTTTGAGAAGTCTACAATGTTGTGAAAGAGAAGCAGATGACCAGCAGAAAAGTGTATGGACTCAATTATAGCTGTGATCAGTGCACTGCTGGAAAACATGAAGGGCCAGGTTAGAGATAGATCATCCTGGGGAAGTCAATGTATGGGGTTACTAATTGTCAACATCAAGTTTATAGCACATAATCAGTCAGTCAAATCAATGCAAGCATTTACTGTACATACTTCAATCATATACCCTCTCATTCACTGTTTTTCTGTACCTTAAATCTCCAGCTCCGTTTCTTGCCCCAGCTCCTGCCAACCTTACAGTTTAAAAGCATTCAAATGCAAGTAGATAAATAGGTACCACTTTGGTGGGAAGGTAACAGTGTTCCATGTGTCTCCACGTATAGTCATGCTGAGAATATGACCATGGAAGTGCCTTTGGACAACACTGACTCCCTTGGCTAAGAAAGGGAGATGAACATTGCCCCCTAGAGTCAGGCATGACTGGACAGGGAAACCTTTACCTTTATCTTTACCTTAGATGTCAGGACACTGATTTGAATTGGTGACCCATTAAAATTCTAAAACATCAAAATGCTATTCAATAAACTAGTAATCTCCTGGTGGCAAGCAACTAGCTTATTTCAGGAACAGAGATTGCATACCTGCAGAAACACGTGGGCAATCAGGTAGCATGGACTCTACTGATGTATCCAGAGGTTCTGAACTTGATACCCAATTACAGCAATTCTGAAATTAAAGAGAACTTTGAATAATAAAATACCTTAGGTTTTTTTAACCATATTGTAGAAGCTTAATCATAGAGATTGTAATATCAGGACCAAAAAAATAAACTGGACTTGTATACTGAGGCTTGAGCTCATATAAGAGGAGAAGTAGCTATATATCTACAAATATTATTATATCTATGTATAAAACTTCAGGACCAAATTAAGAGCTTTTGTGTTTTGTAATTATATTAACATCTGAGGCAATTAAATCCACAAATATTTCCTCTTACCTGGCAATGAAATTACCATGGCAGTAGCATTAACAGGTATAAGAACTATCTGACAACTTTTTTCCCTTTCATAAATCCCCAGATCAGCTGCCTCAGGTGAATGGCCAATATGGGCAGCTATATATTGTTGATTAATAAAAAATAAATAAATGACACCTCACAAGGATTTAATATATTATACATGGAATTAATATGAGAGACAACTCAGGTGAGTAACATCTAAACGATGGAGAGTAATTATTTCATGTTATTCTCCATTGGATAGATCTCACTCAAATACTGTGTCCAGCTTGGGACATCACACTATTAAGGGAATGGTATACAAAATGGAAGAGGTAGAAAGTGGATGAACTTGGAAGGATGCCTTGGAAGATGAACTTGGAAGGATGCCTTGGAAGTTAAGTGGTGTCAAAAGAGATGGAAAGAATTGGAAATACTTTGTCCTTGAAAATAAATACTGAGGGAAGTCTACCATGCTTCAGATATCTTAACAGATGCATTAGTTCAAATAATCCATCCTAATTGGATATCTATCTTTTTCTGTACTTATGTAAAATTAATATGGTTAATCGGGCTAGAACTGACTCAAGTCTTAGATAAAATATAAGAGAGAAAGGTGAAATAGATTGTGGAAAATAAAATATGAATGATATTATGGATAATAAATCAGCATGAAATATCTTAATTTTACTAATCTATTAATTGCTTATTTCTTAATTAAGTTCTCTTTTACTTTTCAACTTCGGAATTTAAATATCATAGTGTTTTCTTCAAAGCTATTACAATTTACTTTTCATAAATACTGATGGTCAAAAAAATAATCCACCAATTTTTTGTTAAAATATGAAGACATTTGATTTCATTTTTCTACAATTAAATACTTATAATAAAACATGAGGAATAAGAAAGAACTAAATACATGCATCCCAGATAAGTAATGGCTGATTGGCCTAATACTAAAAAAACATGTATTGTATATTTTTAAAAGATTGCTGCCACAGTTGTGCATTAAGGAATCCATCCTAGAAAGATTCTTGATTGGTAGATCAAGTGTCTTAGTATAGCTTCTTAAGTCATTCTGTCTGGAACAAAATGTCAGCTGTGTTTAGGTGAGGAGAGAATTTCTAAAGTAGTCTCCATCAATAAAGTCACAGCCATGAGTTTGAAAAGATTTGTCAAGGCAATCTAACTGTTCTGGGACCAGACAGAGGAGGAAGAACATAAAGAAGAGGTGCTGCATGAGATTAGAAACTGTTCACAAGCATTGCATATTTTGTAAGAAATACTAGATCAGTAAAACGATTGAACTGTGCAAAAAAAAAAAAAAAAAAAAAGCCAGGAAAGCATTTAAAAATATAACTGGCTAGTGTATTTGTTATCTTTTTACCTAATTGTGTGACGGTAATATTTCTGTATTTCATAAAGACTTTAAAATGCACATTTGCAGACCAGTTTTTAATTAACACCTGAAAGTGGAATTGGAATTTTTATAAGCTATTATACGTTTGACATAGATAAAATTAATATTTCTACTGATATAACATTACATCAGAGAATTTAAGAGAACACCAAAGATTTCAACAAAATTAACTTACTTATCCTATATACAATGAGCCATTGGCTATAAGAATTAAGTATGCAGACTGAAGATACGAAAATGGAAAATTTGTTTTATCAGTCATCACAATGTCTAACAAAATTTTAAAAATAGGACTTCTACTGGCATTAAAATATGTATGCTGTGATAAAGGTAGATAGGTGCAATGAAAAATTGCTATTGTTCACTATTCATTCTTTCAGTAACAGCAATTACCACTGCATGTACAAAGCAACAGAGAAAAAAATGAATTATTATTCAATCTCTCAATCTAAACCCAATATAGTAATAATATACCCCGATGGCATGATGTAGTTTAGAAACACATCTAAAATTCATGTAATATAACACTGTTTAGATGAGATTCTTTGAGTATCCCATCCATATTTTAATTCACTAGTTTCTGAAAATAAAAGCACAGGTAATGGATTGTCTTATTTAAATGTACTTCAGTAACAATTAGTTATTAGGTTAAAATGGGAGATGTAAATTTTAATGCTTTGCTCCTGATGGTATATATTCAATGTTCTGAATTTTCATAATATAATATTTCTTTTTCTCAGCAAGTTTTTCAACTTGAGTATTTTATTCAATTGCCAAAAAAAAGATAAACACAGAAAACTTTGTTATTGGTATTTACTAGAAATATAAAGAAAAATGTGAGATTTCTAATGAGTTGCATTTTCAGAGTAGCATTTCCATATTTAAGAGTTAGGAAGACATTTTAAAGAAATATTTATATCAACCAATTCCCAAATGAATATATGCTTATTTGTTTATTTACTAGAATGTGCCATTCCAATCACAAAAGACTCTTAGTGGCTTATATTTCTTTTTATCCAGTAATATTAAAATTAAACAATATACCAAACAAGTGAACTAATAGTAGCAAAACAATAAAGTTAGTGATCTATATGAAAGAAATACGTTGAAATGGTTTGGTTATGAGGAGAATGAACGAGAACCCAGAAAACATGCACATGATGGAATAGTAGGTTAAGAAGAAGGTGAAGACAATAAAAGTTATGATTGGATGGAATTGACATCCTCAGAAACATTGAAAAATTTAAAGAAAGATGGTTTGCAATGTTAGAAAGGAATGAATAGATAATGTAAACCAGATTTAAGTTAGATTTCCTCTTCTCTTCTGCATTTCTTTTCTTAATTATATCATTTTTTCTGCACTCTAAATACAACTAACCCAAAGCAAAACAGCATTATGGTAAGTATGTATGCATATATACCTTAGACATAATGTTTAGTGAAACTCTTTGATGATCAGAATTGGATTTTAACAATGATCTGGAGTTTGTATGGAAAATTTATGCCTGCTGGATGAATTGAATAAAGTTCATAGTCTCTTTATAACAGTCTTTATGTACAAGGGCATTAATGTTCTCATAAGGGAAAATTGTAAAAGCAGGAAGAAGGATGTGCTGCTCCTAATAATGAGAATGATAATTGGCCAGTTTGTGCACTTGGTTATTAGAACACAGCCTCACCTCTCGCAGCCACTCTCGAACAATTTTATCAGCTTCTTGATGCCACACATTATGAACTGAATCTGTCAATGCCACTGCAGTAACTTTATTTTTTACTTCTATTTCTCGCTGAATCATCTGTGGAAAATATAAGTACAAAAAATAATTAAAACATGAAAAAACATCTAATGTAAATAGTCAGTGAAATGCTTCCATTGATCTAGAGGTTCACTAGTGAAAGTGGAAAATATTCAATAACAACCTTTTCCAAGTTTCCTTTCTGCCTTGCAGAAAACACTATTTATATCCTACAATCTTACTGAGCCTTCATTTTCATTTATTCACATCACTTTCTGGTCAACATAACTTTCTTAGATTCTCAGAATCTCTCTGGAATTATTTACTACTCAAACATTAATTAAAATATCTTTTCACTGCTTCTGATGTTGGAAAACACATAGAGGTGTACAAGATGGAAACAATATTATATGCATTGTATCCTGCTTTTAGTTACGTTTATAAGATATTGTAACTTGGCTTGCATGTAGCACTAAACCAGTTTACTTTAGACACAGCATTTTGAGTATGCAAGTCACAGATATTCCTAACAAATGCAGTTAATTTTATTTATTTTTCTTTCCATATCACCCCTGCTTCATTTCACTCCTGAAGATATATGCAAGTGTTTTTATAATTGGGTCTTTTCCTATGCATTGATTACAAAAGTTGACTAGGGAATTTAAATGCAAATATAGATATTTGTAATAATAAATTCAATCTATAAGTAATAAAAGAGTGAGAGACTATTGCATAATGTAATTGAACACAGTAGCAGCAACTGCAGAATTTTTTTAAATAAAAAAGTGTAATTGAACTTCTTGAACTTGTATTTTAACTTGCCAATGTATATTTTAATAGACCTTTTAAACAGACAAAAAGAACAGGAAGAGTACTTCCCAAGAGTGACATGTCAATCCCAAATCATGCCTATGATTATTGAGTGTTATCCTTAAATTATAGTTAATGAACTTCCTCATGATGAGATAGAAAAAGAATAATTATACTAAAGGAAGTATGATGAGTATGGTTATAACACAGCAATTCTATATATCTTTTCAACTGTGGCTTATGTATTATTAACCCCCCCCCCCAAAAAAAACAGTACACTACAGAATACAAGATTAGAATGCAAGATAAAGAATAAGAGAATGAAGAATTGTTAAAATAAATAACATTAAAACCCAAAGCATCACAACTGGTATTGTGGACAGTATGACACTAACAATATTTAGTTTTCATTTTTTTCCCCACTAGAAATCACTGAATTTTTCTTTTCAGCTAACTTAGCACTTTAATATTACTATCCTTTACTGACTATATCTACATTTTAAATATAATTTTAAACTACTACTTTTAAGACATGACACTAAAGTATCCATTTACCTGGACAACAATTCCTGTATTTATAAAAAACTAATTTTATACAATCAGTTTATCTAGTTGATATATTTGTGGTAACTGCCAAATTTAAAAACAGACATCTGTGGGTTTTATTTTAACTGGGCTTCCTCACTATATAGTAGTACATGAGTCATATAATAATTTTGTGCAATAATTGTACACGATTACTAGCTGTTGATCCCGTCAAAGTAAGAGACAGAATGTAGTAGCATCACAATTAAGAATATAACATTTTAAACTAATATTTTAAGAACTAGACTAGATAAAATGTCTTTCTAACCCAGCACTCAGTTTTAAATATTTATCAGCCTAGTAACCTCAGAAAAGTCCTGTACTGGAGATTATGTTGCAGATTATGTGGCACACAAATTATGCAGGATAGAAGGCAAAACTTTTATTAATTAAACAGTAATGGTTTAAAACCTGGTTTTGGTACAGAGAAATCATACATGCACTATAATTTAGAAATCCTTCAGCCCAGTGCTTTTAAGACTTAATTTGACAGCCAAATTTTCTTATTCCTTACTTTTTCTTTGTAGGAATGAACATTTGGTACATTTCTGAAGATAAAAAGGGGAAATAAAGCTATTAAGTAAAGTTGTAGATGTTATTTTATAACCTGCAGCTTATTAACTCAGCTCTACACTAATTTTAAAGTAGCTTTCTAACTCTCATGACCAGAGGAAATGAAATCATGTACCAGTGGAACTAAAGAAAAAGTAGATAATATTTTTGAGTTGCTGGGCGTAACTGAAAAACTGAGAGTATATTATAGATATGTAATTTGAAGTTGACACACTTCCAAACATATAACTGGACAATAGCCTATGGACTTTGAAAACAGACAAGTTTGACAATGAACTTGGGAGGCTGGGCAAATAGAAATTTACAACATTTTATGAGGATTTAATGAAATTAGATTTCAGTTATATCAGTTTAGTGTAGCGGTTAAGATGTCAGGCTAGAAATTGGGAAATTGTGAATCTAATTCCTGCTATAAGCATGAAGCCAGCTGGGTGATCCTTGGCCAGTCATTCTAAGCTTAAAAGATAGGCTTTAAGTCTATGCTTAAAAGATAGTCAAATACAGGACTTCTGTGACTGACACAAAGACCAAAAGTATTAAGAAAATGAAGTATAAAGAGATTGAAATGGGTTCACAGAAGGCAATAATAAAGTATGAATTCCATAAAGATGAAGATGATTACTATACTTTTGGTGAAAATACAGGGAGCAGTTGTAAGGTTGATAGAATTAAATGACTACATATAACACTAGATTCCTTGCTGCAAGCAGCTTACCCATCCCTAGAATATCAAATCACGTACATCACCAACATCACTAGAAGAGGAACTCATCACTGATCCTCCTGAGTTGGATTAAACACGCTAATTCAAAGCCTGACAGGCTTAAGTAATGAGCATATGAAGAGCTCTAAATGGTACTTGCAGCATACAGCAGAATCCTAATAAAATCTTGAGATCACAAGATGAAAAAGAAAGGCATTGCTTTTGAATGGAAGAAATATTACAGGTAAAGTATCTGTAGATATTTCTAACAGGAAAGCTTGAAGTTGCTGGTGAGACAAAAGCAATAATGGAAACAAGGCAATAATGAAAACAAAAATATATAAACAGGCAAAGGAAGTAAATTAGCTAAAAGAAATAGAAGAACAATAATACAGTAAATAAACAGTAAATACTGTAAATTTGTTGCAGTAAGAATAGCAAAGGAAGAAAACAGAAAAACTACACTTAAGGACCAAAGGTAAAGCTTAGCCAGTTGAGTCCAAAAACTTTCTGATATTGTAGGCCTGATTCTACCAACGGAGCCAATCGCAATAACTTCATCCAAGGATGAATAAAACATTGTGGCACAGCCACCTGTGCAAACAATTGTTCAGGTTTGGCCGAAAGCAAAGGATATACATAATCCTGGTGAGCATCCTGCCTTGTGTTTGGAAGATAATAAAGAATTGGTTCTGGTATCATAAAGCAGTTAAAATAACTGCTTCATATAGAATGTATTACAATAGCTTTGCCCTGAGATTATAAAAAAGGTATGAGACAATAATGATTACACTCTTTTTAATTAGGTGGAGTTTGTATAAAGCAGATTCAGTTCAGGAACACGATATGATTGAACCTAAAGTAAATGAAAGATACATTTTATTGCATTTTAATTTTAAGGCACAGGTAGTCCTCACTGGATGGAATGGATGGAACAATGGATGGAAACTAATCAAGGAGAGAATCAATCTAAGGCGAAATTTCCTCATAGTGAGAACAATAAACCAGTGGAACGGCTTGCCTTCAGAAGTTGTGGGTGTTTCCTCACTCTTGAAAAAGAGATTGGACAGCCATTTGTCTGAAATGGTATAGGGTATCCTGCTTGAACAAGAGGTTGGATTAGAAGACTAGAAGATTTCCAACTCTGTTATTCTCAATTGACCAACATTTGTTCAGAAGTATTTGAAATTATAACAGAGCTGAAAAAAGGGTAGTTATGCCTGGTACTTGAAATTATCATGGTGGCGGTGTCCCCACGGTCATGTGATCAAAATTTGGGTGCTTGTCAACCCACCAGCACCAATGACCATAGGGGCACTTTAAGTCCTTCCACCCAGCCATCTCTCCCATCTCTGCCATTTTGACTGCCCTGCACTTCACTACCTTTGTTACCCTGGGCTCTGTTGGCCCTGCCATCTTGTCCAAATTACATACAGCCTTTTTGCAAGGATTTGGAAAGATTCAAAGCCTTGCAAGGCCAAATGTGATTTGTTTAAGGCCATAAGTAAACCCAGGAAGAAGGTCTAGCACAGATAGTATCTGTAATGCAAAGAACCAGACTGGGCATGCCTCATCAGCAGTGGGTGAAAAAAAGATTGTGAAGGTCAGCTGGGGGTAGCAAAGTCAGTGAAACCCATTATGGCAGGGCTGGCAGAAGTGTAGATTGCAAGGAAGCCAAAAGAGCTCCTCTCTGAGAGAGATGGGCAGTTAATAAGTGTGATAAATTAATAAGCACATAAATAAATGATAGATAGATAGATAGATAGATAGATAGATAGATAGATAGATAGAGATAGATAGATAGATAGATAGATAGATAGATAGATAGATAGATAGATAGGCAGGCAGAGATAGGGTGGGGTGGGAGCCATTCCCTTAACTTACTGAGGTTTGGGGCTGGAAAGGACCAAGTCAGGAATGGCTTGGATCAGGGAGGTCCTCACCTAATGACCAGTGGGATTTGATTAATGAAGACAATGGAAAGTGCTGGGATTGCTGTTGATTCAGTCATGTGACATTATGCTTTACAGCCTCATTGCTTAGCAACAAAAATTCCAGTCCAATTGCCACAATTAACAGAGGACTACTTGTACAACAATTATCTATTTCAAGCTGATTTGGCAGTGTGAATACCGTATTACAGTATCTTACCACTATGCTTTGGTTATTCCAATTTAGTCATTCAATCCATGCTACCTGGTTTTTAGTACTTAAGCACTAAATTACATTTACTACATTGATGTTCTCTCAGGTGTACTTTCCTATATCAGTCACTCATGTTGTAATAGAAAATATATAATAGCATTTTTGTACAAGTAAGAAGTTGGTATTATTTACTTTACAGTACCTAAGGATACATCTTTATTTAAGACCAATAAAATCTATTCTA